GATCCCTAAACCGCGATGTGCAGATAAGATGACAGCGTTTAGCAGCGTCGGCCTTCTAGACCTAAGAGCTGTTCTCATTCTGTTGTTGTACGGGGTCCTAATTTCCATAGTAACTCTCGTAGCCGAGATCAGCATATTTAGACTGTGAGTAGCTAAAAATGGCGAACCGTCTGCTGCTTTTTTCTTGATCTTATTAACTACTTTCTTCTTTTCAGAAGGCGTCGTGTCCAGCGTAAGTAGCATCCGCGCAATGATCTTATGTAATCAGTTAGTACACGCGAGTGACTAGAACATATTATTCTGATCTGAAATAAATTATTTTCTCAACACAGCCATTTATCGTTTCTCTTTATTTTGTATAGATTGATAATTTAATAAAATGTTGTTCATCTGATGCTATAGTTATAGCTACGCAGATCATGTGCGCACACTCTGAGAGAATTGAGAGCGAGCGAACTATTTGAACATTAATAGTCTTTATTTTTATATTTTTAACTCATTTCGGAATATAACATATTTTTCAACTTTAATATTTGTTTAAAAATCTTTTTTTTAAACCTTTGTGATTTCAATCATCGATGACTGAGTACTTTGAGTGCATTTATTAGTCGGAATTTTGTTATTGGTGTTTATTAAAACTGTACAAACAATTTATTTTGTGTGTATTTATTGATGAATATAGTGTATAATATTTTACTCTTAAGGTATGTCAAACGATGCTGAAAAATTTCAACGTTTAGTCAAGTCAAAGTCAAAGTCCAAGATCATTTATTCCATAGGTAAAATAAATTTACACTTGAAAACGTCACATTTACATTACATTACATTACATTAAGCTATTGCTCATTCACTACGCTGAATTCCCTGAGAAGAACGAGCAAGAAACTCTAGGGATTGCTCTTTTCAAATAAACTGAAATGCTATGGAATACACTTTGTATCAAATTTGTGTTGATTCTGGAGCCGTGACGTCTTTCCATACATCTTTATCTAACACGTAGTCTTCAACTTTGTAATATGACTTCTCAATCAACATATTTTTAATGTAGTTTTCAAACTTAGGAAATGATAATCTTAATATATGATCCGGAATCTTATTGTAAAAACGTATACAGTTCCCCACAAAAGAGTCGTTTACCTTGGCTAAACGAAATCGTGGTACCATGAGTTTGGACTTAGCTCTATGGTTAATATTATGGATATTTTCTTTCTTATTGAAATTATTTATATTTTTACGTTCATATAAAATATTTGAGTAAATGTACTGTGATACCATAGTCATGATACCTTAAGCTTTTCTCTGAGAGAAACCCGAGAGCCTAGACGGTACACGGACCGAACCGCTCGTTTTTGCAATACAAATATGGTTTGAATATCTGCCGCTTTACCCCACATGAGAACACCGTACATTATACTATGGAAGTAACTAAAGTAAACTAGTCTAGCAGTACAAACATCGGTAAGCTCACGTATTCTGCGGACAGCGTATGCAGCAGTAGTAGTTGACACCCATGACCCATGTCAAGCACTAAACGAATATTTTTTTAAACTTAATTTCGACCATTTGGTAAGGACGAAGAACGTAGGTTTGGATTACTTACTATGCATGTCTTAATTTATATCTCGTTTAATCTGCAATTTAGTCTTCAATTTAAATATATTTTTTTAGTCAATTTATTAATAGACTGCGATCATCGTGTATATAACCAGAAATATAGACGAAGTAGGGCCATCCATCCCTGGCAACTCATCAGGCAAATGGGCTTTATATGACTTTTAAATATCAACTCTCGTTTGTGCTGAACTCACAAATTAGTAAACTGAAATAGTACATCGCCAACAACTGACCTGTGTGTAATTTCCAAAAATATTCTGTGTTTATTTTAATAAAAATAATACAAATGGGGGCTCTTTTATTCGGCGGTATGGGAAAAACAGCAAAACATCTAATTATATTAAATTATTATTTTTGCTGTTGTGAAATCATTTTAAATGTCGTTTTTCTATTAAGTGGCTTTTAGATATACTTACAAGTTTATTTTATAATTCACGATAAATAAAACTTCAGCAAATTATCGATATTCTACTCTACAGGATATGTCACGGAAAGTGCAAGGGAATTGCACGATTTAATTCCGCCTTTTGCATCATCGGGAGGGACCATACGTAAGTGGAGTTTCTACCTCTATGTTGTGGATATTGTAAAGATTAGCTCGAAACGTTTCACTTCAACATTTTTTATATGGCGAATGACTATGAGGTGGAATTCCCTGCCTGCGAACTTGTTCCCTGAACGCTGTAACTTGGAGAGAAAAAGGCGAGAGTGAATAGATCTTATTTAGGTGTGCATCGTCGACTTCATTGTCACTTTCCATCAGGTGAGATGGAAGTCAAATGAGCACTAATATTTTTAATAAAAAGAAATTATTATATTTTATACCAGCATCGTGGATCTTGATTATGAAATAGAAATGAAACGCTGAACAATTCTGAATTTGAGACACTTGTTCAAACTACAACAAAAACAACAATAAACACGTTTAATATTTGACGTCATTTTCTAAATACCGAACGACCGCTTCAATTCTATAGTTTTATTATTAATGGTGCGTGTGACGATTCTACTACTCTATGCTCAACTCACACTGGCGCAGAGTCGCGTCGCGTCCTGTTTTGCAACTACAACGCTTGGCGATGTGCGCCGACCGCATCCAAGTGTCGACGCCCGTTTCATATTTGCATGACACAAATTTGTACCTTAATAATGGGAAAATAGAGATGCATATACTATAGGCGAAAAACATGACGTGTTGCGACGCTTCGACTCTGCGCCAGTGTGAGTTAAGCCTAAGAGTTACAAGGAAATCGAAAAAAACCGATAACCAAACTTTGGAGGAAGGTTTTTTTTTCAATGAAAAGTTACAATTATAATTCCATACTCATCAGATCCGTCTGTTCTTATTTTATTATTATAAAAACTACACTATATATTATACGATTTATTATTAGGACGATACGACCCTCAGGGTCGTATTCCAGAACTGTACTCAATGCTCAAGTCAGGATTTGAGCAGACTTGAGTATGATTTGAAGCACTGGAAATACGACCCTAAAGGCAAGGACTTGAGTATGATTTCGAGTGCTTTAAACTATACTCAATTTCTGACTTGAGCATTGAGCAGAGTTCTAGAATACGACCCTAAGTCTGTCTTCAATATTTTTTTCCATCCTCTACGAAAAAAAGCGAAAAGCTTTTTTTTATGTAGAGTTTTAATGGTTTTGGTATATTTGTTGTTGAATTTTTTTTAAATTGGTACTCCTATTTTGGGTACAAGTAGATCTCAGTAGATCAGTCAATAGTCGCAGTGATGAGAGGATGCATAAGCCCTGAATGAAGCCGCCCTAGGTGTAAGTAACAAATACATGCTTTTGATGTGATCCATTCTTTGCACTTGTTTGCGATACCAAATGAAACTCGAGATTAAATGGTACAGAGCGTGGATACGTATAAATGCGACAGTAGGAAAGCGATAGGAGTTGCGTCAGAGGTGTTTTGCGTCGTCCTGTTTGTCCATTTACTAATTTTCATGCAATGTCTTTAGTCTGCAAAAGTGGCGCGCGCGTGCAGAGACTATGACGCTGCAGCTGCGCTTCTAAACATTATATGAAAATTAGTAGTGGCGCGACTGGAGCGCAGCGTCGCAGTGGTACTACTGCAGCGCTGCTACAAGCGTCTAGGCTGTGAACATGATTGCAGTTTGCAGGTAATGCGTGAATTCGTAATCAACTTCATGCAGCCGAGACCACGATCGCATGAACTTCATGCATTATAACTACATGCAGTTGATCTCGGTTGCACGAAGTCGGTTTCGACTACATGCCGTGCCGTTATTGCGTGAAGTTGTTATCAACTTCATGCAGTCGAGGCCTCGGATTTTAATATAATTTTTGTGCGAAAACATGGCGATTCTATTCATGATCGAGAAGCTCACAGAAGATATGAGTAATTAATTGACTAACCAATATGAAGCATAACTTTAAATAGGAAATAAACACACCTGCTGAGTTCTTTCACTTTGTAATTGAATAAGTTACTAGGAGAAATTATAAGCAATTATTTCGAAGTTTAACGTTTCATTTTGTTATCAATTATGCAAGTGAAGCCACGATTATAATTCAGGACAAGGTTAATTCTCGCTTTGCTGCGAATAACTTGTAAAGGAAAACTAGAGAAAGTCGACAAGTGAAGACGGCAGACATATACATATATGTCTATCATTAAATTTGTCTTTTAACGTCTGTTTCTTTATAATACCGAATACCTAATCGGGGCGCGTCGAAATGAGTGTGGTATACGCACTTGATGGAAGTTTAGTAGCAGTAGAGCTCCTTGTGAAAGAATTCGTCCAGTTATTTCTGCCGCCAAGCAATAAAGTCAGCCTTACTGTGTTCCGGTTTTGAAGGGTAAGGTTGCTGGTGAAATTACAGGCACATGGGACTTGTCAACTTATGTCTCAGGGTGACGAGCGCAGTGGCAGTGCACCTTAGATCTTTGTGACTTAAAGCTCTGAGTGGCAATGCAACTGTTATGGACAGGCGTGTAGCTTGCTAACAAGCCCACGACTTGTTCGTCCCGTCACTTGATATTATAAAAAAAATATTGTCGAGTATCGTTTGATTGTACTACCTTTATTTGGTCGTAAAAAGGGTAATATTTTAGCAAAACAGAGTCGATGACAAAATGCACTATCTACATTAAAAAAACTAATTGATCGTGTCATTCGGAGATCGTGGACCTCGCACGTTTCGGGGGGTTTTAATGCTCCATACACCTCCAGGCAACCCTTGTGGCTGCTGTGGTAGCCAGCATTGAGCCTTAATTCCTAATCACCAAAAAGATTTAATGAGAATCACCCTAAAAAGGGCTCATTAAGCAAAGACACCGTATTTGCATAACAAACAATCGATCGTTCGTTGAATTCGAACAAACGTAACATTATAATGAAGATTTTCGACGAAGGGCCAATGTCGGTGGTAATTTTCTATATCTTTTCTATCATTTGCACGGCTTCTGCAAAATATGGTAATACAATTCGTTTCATAAGAAGTTACGTCGAAAATGAAGGGAAACCGACGTTTTTGGTTTGTAATTTATGTTGGGAAACGAGTAAGTACATATTTGTTTAATTTAAATTAATTATTAGACAACATTACATACGTTGCTCTGATCCCAAAGTAAATATAGAAAAGTGAGTTTTCTACATTGTCCGGGCCGGAGATCGAACCTGGAAGCTCAGAGATGGCGACAACATAAAAACCGCTGTGTATTGTGTAATTTACGTATGTCCATTTCGTCGCTTTCTCAAACACGTATCTTAAGGCACAAAGATACTGAAATCCAGAAAATGGATTGTACCATTGACTTACAAATAAATGGACGACGGGTCTAATACAAAAACCACGAAAAAAATGTCCCAAGTCAACCTATTCGAAATTTAAATTGTAATGTCATCGCAGTATCGCGCTGTCAGTCGAACAAATGAAGACTAAAGCGGAGTTTGGCGCTCTGTATACGATTTTAGCGCCTTACAAGTGCGGACACTTTTTAGCGCGGACCCGACGTCCATATAATTGTAAGTCAATGGATTGTACATATAAATTTTGCAGGTCGATTTCACATCACATTTCCGTCATATTCACACACTGGCTTTAACCTATTCTTAAAGTAATGCTTCCAAATTAACACCCTTGATAAGAAATTTAAAATAAATAGAACGTTTTGCCATCTCCTGAATAATTACTCTTTTTAAGATACGAGTTTGAGAAAGTAAGGCATCGATTTGCTTCATATCTGACATACCAATTTCGTCTTTTAACTCCCGACGTAACAAGTCTAAAAATTATTTAAAAAAATAAAAACCCGACAGCAAAGATATTTAGCTGGAACGATAAAAAAAATATTCCCCCTCACTATTTTGCTTAGAGGATGGAAAAAAAACCATTCTGATTATTGTTATGCAACCCAACAATCAAGACGAATCTAACGACACCTCGTATGTCAAAAATAGTCAAAATCCATCAAGCCGTTTAGGCTGTACAGCGTGAAAAAGAAATGGATATACATACATACACACACTTGAAAAACGTAACCCTCCCGCAGTTGGGTAAAAAGACGGGTCTTTTTGCTTTAGAAGTTTGAAGCCTTTGTTTTTTTGTCTGTCTGTAAATCTATCTGTGGCTTCGTAGCTCCTAAAATGTCTGCTATATGCTGTTTAAAGATCATCAACTCTTGTCCTAGGATAGAATCTGTCACAAATGAATATTTATTTTACTTCCGCTTGGCTGATCGATTTGAAATTTCATACAATACGTAAAGCTGGCCACCTAATTATCTGTATCGGCTATTGTGCTGCCAAATCTTTTATATTCCTCCGAGACGTGGTGTTTGTATCGCCACCACATTCTCACTTTAGACCGTTTTCACCATTATGAACATCATATGGTCCGATCGAGTGCGTAATACCAAAGTCCTGCGACGTACCAATATTGATGGCATTGAAGCTTACCTAATGCATCGATAGCTTCAATGGTGCGGTCACGTAACACGTATGGCAGAGAATTGACTGGCAAAGCGCATCTTTTACTTTGAACTTGAGGAGGGTAGGCGGAAGCCAGGCGGTCAACTTCTCAGGTATAAAAATGTTCAAAAGCGGCATATGAGAAGATTCCTCCGCTATTTACTATAATTAACGTTGACGGTGTACTCACGTATCCTCAACATGCACGAGGGTTCGCCGCGAAGATTGGCTACATTAGTCATTCTCGGGCGCATCAGCGCCAACTCTCCTAGGAGTCGAAGTGGTCGCCTTGCCCGAATAGACATAGATGGTAACATTGATCTGATGCTGTAACCAGGACACAGACAACACAACTCCTCAACTACATACAGCAGAAATATCGTATCTGGAGTCATTGAATTAGTATTCATGGGTTGCTGGTTTATAGATGGTGATTAGGAACTAATAAGTATTTATTAAAGATATACCTACCGAGTTTACCCTTGTTGGATTGAGTTTTTTTTAATGTCCCAAATGATGGGAAGAACAAGTCATGCGCCTGGTGGTAAGCGACACGCCTGTCCATAACAGTTTTATATCCATAAGAGCTTTAAATCGTAAAGATCTTGTGGGCACTGTCACTGCACCCGTCACTCTAAGACATAAGTTGGCAAGTCCCATGTGCCTGTAATTTCACCAGCACCCTTACACTTCTAAACGGGAACGCAGTAATGCTTACATTATTGCTTGGCGACAGAAATAGGTAAGGTGGCAGTATTTCCTTGGACGAACTCTTTCACAAGGAACTTTACTGCTAATGCCTCGACGAGTAGGTTACGAGACATAGCGACTTTACTGACTTTTTAGAGTTCACTGTTTGTCTATGCAGTTTTTTTAAGTATTGCTACTCGCAGCAATCTACACGCGTTTGTTTATTTTGGGTTAATGGGTTAATGTTTTAGTCATTGACTTTTTAATTGTAAGTCAATGGTTTTAGTACAATTTGTTCAATAGTGTTATCTGTTACATTACTTCCAGATGGAGAAGTAGCTTTGGCTAACGTCCTGTCCCAGCTGGGAGTGAGGATGTCGAAGCCCATGACAACGTCAAAATATTTAGATCATGAACTGTTTTTTTTAATGGACCTGGATTGCCCTGGTGCTTTTGAAGTTCTTTCGAATGTAAGTTATTTTAACATATTTTCTTTTTTGAGATTATTATAATAATTAATAGGGAATTTGGCACCTAAAGAAAAATATAATTCTAGACAAAACTTGTTATAAAAAATTAAATTTAATTCTAGAATGGCATCGTGTCCAGAAGGCTGCCAACATTTTCCCTTTGAATAGCTAAACTTATTCTTTGGCGGTAATAATTATACGTCAGAGTTAAGGCCGGAAAGGCAGACTAACACCCTCAAAGCAGATTTAATCAGGAATTACTTGATAATCACCTTATTCACTCTCCGTTATCAATTCGTTCAGCCGGCGGTGAAACAGTAACGTCAACAGATTGCAATTAGTCCGAAGTAAAAAGATGGATGAGGTTAAAACGGATTCTAAATATCACGAAGCAAGTTCAGAGAGAGCGAGGCGGTACACTTCATCACTGTCCAAGTAACTTACACAAAAAGCCCCCTCTCTCCAAACATACCCAGTTAGAGCTGTCAAACTGACGTGACACTTGTGAACAAAGAAATCGAGACTAGAAAAAATGATTCGTGGGTAGCCAAGTAAATCGTATAACTAATAAATTAATTAATAATCATAATTTACTTGGCTTCGGTCCGTAAATGTAGGATATCGAGTATGTAACCAGAAATAGAGACGAAATAAGGGCCATACATTCCTGGTAACTAATCAGTGATGGGTACATCATTTATAAATATCAACTCTCGTTTACACTGAACTGAAGACAGGCCAACAACTCCGTCGTTAGTCTCCGTATATTCCAAAAATATTCTGTATTTATTGTAATAAAGATAATATCTCTAACACTACCATAAATAACTAAATAATACTTCTATGAGAACACCACAATCGCTTTGTCAGTTACTTGAAGAAAAGTTATTAGTCATAATAGTTTTTAACCGACTTCAAAAAAGGAGGAGGTTCTCAATTCGACTGTATGTTCTTTTTTTTTTTTGTTTTTTTTTGTATGTATGTTACGCGATAACTCCGGTATTTGTGAACCGATTTCCATGATTCTTTTTTTGTTGGAAAGGGGGTACTTCCATAGTGGTCCCATTCCATTTTGAAGGAAATCATCCACCTCTAAGGGTGGCTGTTCACGCGTGAAGATTCATTTTTATAAATAGCGCCTAACTGTAATTTAGGAGCAATTGCTTTTAGCAATTATTTAGTTGATTTTGCTATTTCTCCAATTCAAGGCGTTTTTCCCTCGATATACTTTGAGTAGTGTCGTAGTGAGAACCTATTTTTATTATCTCCAATATCAAGTCCTATGTAGTGGCGAACTAGGGGATATTTCAATGAAACTTAGCAAATAGACGTAATTCCACGTACTTTTGAGGTCGGTTTTTTTTAGTACTCTGTACTGAGATTATATTATTATATTCATAACGCTCTGTGACAGACAAGATCTATGCGACTGTCGTCATTGAGTTGGTTAAATGATTTTGGTAGACAACTATTCATTCTAAAATTAGTACGACTAAATGCAACTTGAAGCCTATTATTATTACGAAACTTCTTAACTGGAACTTTGAGTATAATGTTACTGAGGATCCCTGGACAATCAATCTTATTCTGTGCAATGTTCAGCAGAAAACACGCACCAGCTATTACTCAACCCCTCGGCCACAACCGTACGCCGATTGTCATCATTCATCACGATGGCAAACATATGCCACACTAGTGATGCGGGTAGCAGCAACAACTTCTGCGCGACAATAATATAGTATATGCCATCGATACGATAATAAGATTGGTCCTATCGGGAATATAACCCGGGGCATTTTAATTCGGTACTCGCAGGGCAAACCGTAGTCCCACTGAGGTCGTCAAAGATGAATTCATCATCATCATATACAGTCTGACTTCACCCACTGCTGGGTATAGGCGTCCAAGTTTTTTTTTATAAAAAATAAGTACGCATTTGACGTATCGTCTGCCCATCTCGCCGCTGGAACCCTGACGTATTAAGATGAAAGGTGGAGAATTTTATTTCCTTTTTCCCTTTATGATAAAAATTAGAATACGTATTTGTGACATTATATAACTCTCCTATTTATGTAAGCATGAATAAGGCTAAGGATTAATCTCGTTTGCAGAATGTTTAAACCTTTCCAGAAACGTTGCCATTTTGCAGTATGTGACCGTATTAAACCAAAGGCGAGATTTAAAAATAAATGAAATAGGCTTTACTTCACATGCAACATACATAACTTTGTTACATAAACTCAACTTAAAATAAAGCACACACACACCTACACATAGTAAAGAAGCATAAAAAAGTCAAAAAGAAGATATCCCTTTTAGGGTCTATGATTAAATTTTTACACATGATTTAATTACCTTAATGATACGACATTCTTCATTAGAGGACTTTAAAAAAAAATATTTATTTATGTTTGTAGTGTATTTTAATTATTTGGCTTTTGTAACTGATTGGACTGGAAAAAAGGCGCGGTATCCTAATAGTTTGACCTACCGCCTCTCAAGCAGAGGCCATGAGTTTGAATCTGGCCTCGCACCTCTGAGTTTCTTGGACTTAATGTGTGAAATTTGACCTAAAATTTACTAAGAGCTTTTTTGGAGAAGGAAAACATCGTGACGAAATTTGAACGTCGAAGAAGGTTAACAACCCTCAAAAAACGTGTGAAGTCCCCAATTGATGGCTCAATTGCGTGGCGGATTGTGACCTAAAACCTATACTGAGACCCGTGCTCAGCAGTGAGGACGTATAAATGCGTTGATAATGTTAAACTGATTGGACGTGGCGTGAATATAGTGTACAAATGATTGCAAGAGAGTTTACATCAAAAATATAAAAACTATGTATGCTTCAAGACCACAGTCATTGAAGATGCATTCTTGTAACGTTTTGTACTTATATTTTTTTAACACACACACACACACACACACACACATACACACACACACATACACACACACACACACACACACACACAGAGAGAGAGAGAGAGAGAGAGAGAGAGAGAGAGAGAGAGAGAGAGA